GGTTTAAATCACAAACAAGAATTAGTTCATTATTCAACTCTACATACCGTGATAAGAAAAAAGAAAATAATAAAGTAGTTTATCAATACAACTGTCTAGATTGCAAAGGCACATACATAGGTCAAACATCAAGAAATGTTGAACAAAGAAAGGTGGAACATAAGAATGCTTTTAAAGGAACTGGACAATCTATAATGGCAGATCATCGTATGCAAAATAAACATAAAAATGATTAGGATCATATTATATTAGCTTTCGAATCTAATGATACTAAACGTATGATTAACCCTTTCAATACGGCATGTCATCTCGTAGATGACATGCATATCGTAATATAGAAATTTTGCGTTCTGTCGTCTTCCTACATTATACATATCATATGTGTGTTCAAAGAAACGCATATATTCTTCGCTGTGAAATTTTTTTTTCGTACTGAACTAGCGCAGCTGAACTTCGTGTACAGCTGGTTATTTAAATAAGAACGCAAGAGAGAGAGAAATATAGATTTTCTTCAACCTTGTATAGAATGATAGAAAATGTCAAGATTGAAAGGCTTAAAGAAAGTTTACTAATGGACTTGATACAACAAACAAATGATAGAATTGTATATTCACAGAAAAGTTATGAATCAAATGCTTTTGGATGACCTAATAGGTCATTTTTGGGGGCGATTAAAATTTAAAAATTTTATAAGAAAATAAAACGTTTTATTTTCTTATTGTTCTACTAATTAACCTATCTCATTTTCTGTCTATATATATGTTTTTTTTCCACATTCATGTAACTTCTTTTATTTTTTGACTGACGATGTCAACAGTAGTTGACGAAACGTTTCAAAAATGAAAATATGTTCTATTCGGTTGCAATTTCTTTATTATTTATTATTAAAATGATTTATTCTTCTTTTTTTTTAAATGTTATTGCTTTGCCTGTATGACCAGTATGACCAATACGATGCATACAATCTAAATTTATTTACTTTTTTATGAAATATTTTTTTTCCTTTACCTTGAACTGTCCTAACTATATCATAATTTAATACAAATGAAACATCTTCTATATCAATATCACGATCAATACCATCTATTGCAACAAGAATATCTTTTTGACCTTGTTTTGATTGAGGTAAAAGTTAAATCTCGATTTTCTTTGACTTTTCCATCCTAATAAAAATAAAAAAGCAAAAAAAATTCAAAAATAATAATTTGTTCAACATATTCAGTTGGTTTATCAATTGAACCAATATAAATAGATGCAGGACGATGACAATGACGAAGATATGTGCGTGCTAAACGTTCAATAACTGATGTTATTGTTATTGTAAACATCGCTGTTGGATTTTATTTATCTTTTGAAAGAAAATCTCTTAACATAAAGGACCCAGGTCGATCGTTCCGGTCACCGGATACTGCAGGAACCGGCAGGAAAGACGCGGAAAAATCGCCG